GGTTGATGATTGGGGTTTGCTCCACAATGCTGGGTCAGGTTGATGGAGGACCTTCGTCTTGCAGATTTTCAGGGTGAGACCCATGCTCTGATATGCCTCCATAAAGGTGCAGACGATAGTCTGGACATCATCCTCTGAATTTGTACATATGCAAACATCATGCGTGTACTGCAGCTCAATGACACTGGTTGGGTTGACTTTGGTTTTGGTTTTGGAGGCAGCAGGACTGAACAATTTCCCACTGGTTCTGTAGGTTAGTGCCACTCCAGCAGGGAGCTTGTCAGCTGTGAGGTGAAGCCTTGCAGTGAGGTAGACTGAGAACAGCGTTGGGGTGATGACACAGCCCTGACTGACATCAGTCCGAATAGGGATTGGGCCGGTGGTGGAACCGTTTGTTATTACCATGATTTCCATGCCATCGTGGAGCAGGCGAAGAATGGTGAAAAATTTCATGGTGTAGCAAAAGCAGAGAAGGATGCTCCATAACGCCTCCTGGTTGACGGTGTTAAAGGCCTTTGTAAGATCGAAGAAGGGCCTTGCGTAGACTAGGCTCTTTTCTCTGCATTTCTCCTGCGGCTGTTGCGATGAAAATCTTGCCCATTGTGCCCTTCCATGACCGGAGACTGTGCTGCAATTCTGGGAGGAGTTCCACAGGGAGGAGATCCTTGGCAATGACTTTTCCAACAGTCGACAGCAGGGAGATAATACAGTCGGACTTGTTCCTGTTTTCTGAAATCACTTCCGACTGTGGCATCTCGGAGCTCTCCTGGGATGCTCTCCTCCTTCCAGATACGGCAGGCAAGGGGTGTGGAGCTGCGCAGGAGCCCCTCACCTCTGCGCTTCAATGCCTCCAGCGGGCGATTACCGCCTGCTCCAGCAGCCCCTTGGTTGTCCTTCAGCTGGTGGACGGCCTTCTCCACTTCACGCACGGCTGGGGCCGGTGCTGAGCTTGTGGCATGAAGCGTGCTGTGGGATGCGCTCAAGGACCGTCAGATTGACAGCACAGCCCTGGTTGAGG